CATGCTGGCTGACACGTGCAGCACTATGAACGACCAACACAGGTGTCGCTGTTCGGTCGAGACGCGAACGCGAGGACGTGTGATTAGACATGCTCCATGCTGGCTGACACGTGCAGCACTATGAACGACCAACACAGGTGTCGCTGTTCGGTCGAGACTCGAACGCGAGGACTCACAGTCTAAGCCATGACCGATCATTACACACAGCCTATCTACATTTACGCTAGTTGCACATCAAGCTCCTCCCTCTCTTGTCCCATTGAATTCAGTGGACTTAGACGAAAAGCGAGTGTCGTGGGTCGTGGTTACAATGTGGGCCGCGCTTGATGGACCGTACTAGCCCTGGTCGTGATGTTCCTCACGAACCGATAATCCACGCAAGAGGGTTGTTGCGCACTGTTGGAGGGTCACGTCCCATTGTAGGAATCGCGTAGAGACATCGCAACATGTTGACGCACGCGTTACGTAGGAGTAGGGGCAATCTCGTACGATGCATGCATACCGTGAATCGCGTTGCGGCGCCAATTCTCCACTACTCCCTTAATGCCACAGGCAACACAGCCGCGCCCCAAATCCACACTGCGGAACCAAATAGCGCTGCTGTGCTAAACATGCCCGCGCTCAATCCCACATGGAGCACCCCATACGTGCAACCTGAAATTTTTGGGTCCCAGATGCCTGCGTTCCACGCGCAGCAACTGATCAACGGGATTCACCTCGCACCGCGGTCACGGATTCCTCTAGCATCAGCGTCGTTCGCGTTTCAGACCCAACAAGATGATCAGAACACGCGTGTAGTATTCACGCCCCAACCCGGAACACATACTCACGGACAACACACCGCGTCCGCGGACGGTCACACAAGCCAGCTATTTGGGATGCCTGTTCGTGGCTACGTGAAACCGCAATACGCGAATTTCGGGTTTAGATACGGGTACATCGGCGTTCAACCAGACCCCGTGGTGCACGCACCCGCAATTGTCGCGACGCCTCCTGTCGCGCCCGCGACCCCCTTTCCTAACGCAATTCCTCCTGAAATCTCACCAACGGTCCTAGCCTCGTTAGACACCAGAGATCCATTAGTGGTCGGTATGGACACACAGGCGCGAACAACGGGCCCATCATCGAACGCGGTTACCGAGGGTTTAGGACGTGCAGAGACTGGTGGAGCGGGGATGAATGGAGGCGCGCGTGCACACACGCCTCCGATATGGAACGTGAACTCACTGTTGCCAGGGAACCCGGACGTCCACATCAGCACCCCCGTGCAACCAACTGCTGCAAACGCGACAGGTAGAGGTAGGCAACCCCAGGTGCACGCAGGGAAAGCGGGTAGAGGGAATGGTGCGAGAGGGACTGCGGGGAGAGGGGCTGGTGCGAGAGGGAACGCGGGGAGAGGGTCCGGTGCGAGAGGGAACGCAAAAAGAGGGGTGGCGGGAAGAGGGACCGGTGCGAGAGGAAACGGTGGGAGAGGGAACGCGGGGAGAGGGGTTGGTGGTAGTGCGCACGAGGGGGGAACGCATGGGGGAACAGGAAACGGTGATAGAAGGTACGTAAGTAACGCGAACAGAGGTACTGCGAACCAGCCAGTTCATAGGCCGCGTATAAGGAGGCGGAGAGTCGATCTAGTCCCGAACACCGCCCGCAACGGGACCGGGGAGGCGGGCGAGGGGGCGAGCGATGAGGATGACGACGACAATGATGATGACGATGATAGTGGCGACGGTTGGAATGACGATGACGAAAACTACTTAGCTAACTCATTGTACGCGCTAGATGAGGACGAAGCGGACGACCGCGATCGGGTTCGGGGAACGCGAACGGACAACGAGGTCCCGATCGCGGATTGGAAGAGGCTTGGTGTGGACGACACCCCTGAGGCAAAAAGAGAGATGTGCATGGGAATCCTCTACGGTCTCTCGAAGGCCACCCTGAAAAAGTACCGCGGTTGGGCCAACGAGTACAAGAGGTTCATGGCGCACGAGTTGCCGAAACTTGAGGTGGGGAGGTTCGGGGAGGAGGCCGCGTTGAAGAACAAGAACCCCGACGAGATTGGGGCCGCGCTTGGACAGAACATGGGTGGGAGCTGGAAGAGGGCAAAGGGCGACGAGCAGTGGTTCCACGGCCCCGAGACCAATCCGTGGCGCCTACACAATTACATGACCTTCCTCGCGAACGAGACGGTCGCGCAGGCGGACAGAATGGCGACACTCAAAAGGTAGGACAAGACCTTGAAGAAGAGACGCCAGTGCACCCCTGCAATGCTGATGGGCCGTCTCAAGGCCTTGAACCTCCTCATCAAGCTCGATGGGGCCATCTTCCAGAAACCCGTGCTGAACCTTCTGCGTGACTTTGCGGAGACTCGCATTTGGGTCCGCGTTCAAGTCCGCGACCAGTACAAGCGTTTCATAGCGTGAGTATGTGCAATCTGGTAACGCGTGCATGTCCCTCAATACCGCGTCTACTAACACGCGTATAATCGTGATACTGGTTGCGTAGGGAACACATGGATTGCCATCGGGGCACGGCCGCGGACACGTACACCCTGGACCAGTTCAAGCACATGATGCGGAAGACCAGCATGGGCGCCATCTTGAACAGCTTCTCACTTGCCAAAAACGCGTACACGCAGGCCATGCACCGCGACCTCTGCATCAGGACGATGACCGTGCTCGGTCATCACACCCTAGCCTGCGGGTGCATGATTAGAAACCTTCAGCTGTCAGACATGATGATGTGGAAACTCGGAGCGAAATCTGATACTGATCCTGTGAGGGACGCGTTCATGTTTGTTTGCACGTGCAGAACGGGCAAGACAAACAAGGACTTCTCGCTCAATTACATCTCGGCAGTGCGGCACATCGACTGGACGCTGTGCGCGGTCGGTGCTACACTGTTGTGGCTGCAGTGGGTTTACGACTTGGTTCCCGTCCTCTACGAGGACATAGCCCCCCCACTCGACTTCACTGAACCCTCGATGTGGTACGACCAGTACATATTCTTTCCCCTCCGTGCGGGTAACGAGAAGCAGATACCGCCCACGACTCATCACGACTGGGCGGTAAAGATCCTGGAAGACGCGGGAATCACATGCTCGTGAGTGGTCCACGCGACAAGGGCGGGTGGGGCGCAGCACACGTCCGCGGACGGAATGCCTTCGAATCAGCTGGCGAGACTGGGGGGATGGCGCTTCATAGATGTGATGACTAAGCACTACCTCACCACGATCCCAAAGGAGGCCGTGCTGCTGAAGGCGGGGTTCACAGTGGTTGACGGTGAGTACTACCGGGGTCGCGCAAAGGTTCCGATGAGCGAGAAGCTGATGAAGCTATTGAGGGAGCACATTTTCCCGTGGGCCGCCCCTGACAATGGACAGAAACAGGTACGTTTGGGCCGCGCACCATTCTGTAAGATGACCGCAAGCATTCCTCATAACCCTCTGCCTCCGCGTTCCTTGCCGCGTTGTGTTTTGTTTGACCAACAGTGCATGGACTACAACCGGAAGATGGTCAGCGAGGACAAGGCGGAGAGGCAGGACACCGCGGGCCTCAACATACTTCGGGAACTGGACGGCGAGGCTAGGATGGCGGTCGCGCAAGACCTGGCCATGTATTACATTCACCACCTGCGACACCCGTACGTGGTCGGGAACCCACTATGCCAGAAGGAGGAATTCACGTCATGGGCTGCTGATGTCTCCTTGGCGAATCAACTTGCCATCGTACAACGTAACACACCTACGCTGATTAGAGGCGCGGTGAGTACTGCCTGGTCGCGTCAGTGATTCGGCTGAATGTCATTGCCCAACCATCTGACGCTTTTTCGCACGCTCTGTCTATGCAGGAGGTCAGTACCAGGATGAACGCGCAGAACCAGGTGACCGTCCTCACGGAGTACCTGACTCGTTCCCAAGCAGACAACACCATGCTGGGCCTAGAGTTGGTCGCGACTCATAAACGGGTGACAGAGCTAGAGGGGGAGTTGGAGAATCGCGATCGACGGCGCCCACCAATGCCAAAACACACACCGAACAGACTTCACAAAAGAAACCCTCACCGCCGACCAGGGACGAGACAATTCGGGACGCGATCGTGCTCCCATTGGTCCAAGCGACCAAACCATCGGACGGATGGAAGCTGTACAAGTCCACGCATGCGCTGATCTTGGAGAGTCCAGAATCGCTTCTGGAGCAACGTGGTGCATGCACGCGATTGTCCGAGCTCATTGGAAAGGAAGGAGGCGGCCAGAATGCGATAAATCGTGTCAAACGAGTCATGGACTTCATCGCCCACATGGTGGAGCAAGGAGACGACATCGCGGTTGTGCTCGACAAGCTCGACCGTGTGGCAGGAGCTGTAGGCATGACGGGACTGTCAGAAGGGACCGCGGTGAAGAAGAAGAGTGTGGAGCTGAACCTGAGCCAGCTTAAGAAGGGGTCCTCGGCGGAGGTGCAGTTGCGTGTGAAATGGATGCTTGTTCGCGACCATCTCATAGAAGCCTCTCTTCTTGTGTCTGAGTTCACGGTTGCATGGCCACAGTACTGTGCACTGATGCCTGCCTTGCAATAACTGGGTTGGACCCTACGTTGTTCGCGTTGAGAGTATCGTGAATGGGTGCCATGTTATGAGTACATTGTATCGGTCATGATAGTTGTTGTTTTGGTGTCGTCCGAGCGCTGGTAATCTACACTGAATACGTATCACGTTCGCAATGTTCGTGGGGTTTTGTTGTCTAATGTAATAAGATGTATCGCGATTGAACCTGCTCGCGAAAGACAATGTTTCGAAAGCATATTGTTTCAAATGTCAACACTAGAGGCGCGCGCAAACACACAGACACGCAGACTCCTATATGCGCACAACTCTGCAAGTTCAGCATAATCCAAGCAGGGTGGACAAGCTACCTATGCTAACAAGTTTCTCCAGCGACTACACGAACGAGGGTCTCTAGCACCATGTGCAACCAACCGTGACAATAACTCCAGCATGAGGAACACACATTCACGCGGACCTCTTCTTCGCGGACAGACGCTTCTCAGGCAGTGCGAGATAGATCCCGTTGGCCTCCATCAACTTGGCCGCGATCTTGCAGTCGCTCCAGGTCATCAGCACGTCCACCGCCTCGTGCGCGACCATAGCAACCAGTGTGGGGTCCCCAAGTCGCGCTCCAAGGCGGTTCACGACCGCAGACTCTATCTTCTCCGTGACCTCGGTGGTGTTCGTGCGGGTACTCTCCTTCCTGGCCCTTTTCAAGACCACGGTCACGATGGAGGGGTAACCGCGGGCGATATCTTCTGGGGTGCCTGCAGACAGCGCCGCCACATATCCAGCATCCACGTTTCCATCGAGATCGAGACCGTTGCAGGTCTCCCACATCATCGCGATCGCGCACGCTACCGCACCTGCAAACAGGCCCTCCTGGGCGCCGGTGACATCGGGCTCCTCATCTGCCGCCTCCTTCCCCACCGCAGCTGCCCAAGCGTCCGCGTTGCCGAGGGTGGATTTGGGGCGGGTGAGGTCGTGGTAGGCTTTGAACATGTGGTGGTACCTGCATGAACGGGGAAACACGCGCCATGGTTAGACTCGTAGATGAACGCGTACATGTCAACCCGGGGGGAAACAGATGATGGACGACGAACGTACCTGCCAACATTGCCGCACAGGTTATGGAGGTGCATGGTGGCGAATAGCCCGGTGCACATCGTCCCGGCCGCGGAGATGTCTTCGGCACACTCGCTTTTCTGCTGCGCAGTCAGCTTGAGCCCGGGGTCTATCTTCTTGTCATAACACATGACCGCGATCGCGGTCAGGTACTCCACCTCTTGGTGGGAGTGATGTCCCAGCCAGCAACGTCTCCCCCCCAGCCATGGTTCGCCCACCATCCCCTCTCCACCCCTGGGCGGAGGGCGGATACCACAGCCCTTGCGCTTGCCACTAGTGCCGCTGGTGTCGCTCGGCCCCACGAACCTTTGAAGCACCAGCTCAACCTCATCGTCCGCGTCCGAGTCATTGTCGTCCACTTTCAACGTGGCTGGAGGCGGCTTACAACCACCGCGGCCCTGAGTCTTCGCTTTGACATCTACAGAGGGGGGGATTGCAGGGGCAATGGAGCTGGGTCCAGGCTGCCCAGGCGCGACCGCGGTGGTGTTGCCCGCCGCGAGCACGAGCACGGTGGTGTTGGTGGTGGTGGTTGCCGGCGGGGCGTCCTCGACCTTAGCCTTGCCCTTACCAACTTCCACGGCCGAGGGTCCGGGCGGTGGTCCCGCATCAGCATCCCCCCTGGTGGTTCCCCTCGGGAACAGCCCTGCACGCATATCGACCTCCCTTGCTCTTCAGGATATCGGTGACGCTAGGGACCGCTGGACCTTTCTGCCGCTTCCCTCCACGGTTGCTCTGACCCTTTACAGTCTCCTTGTCTGCGACCCTCTTACCTGTCTCCTTGTCGGCGGCCTTCTTCACGGTCTCCTTGTCCGCGACCTTTTTCCCCGTTTCTTTTTCCACGACCCTCTTCCCTCCCTCTTTCTCCGCGACACCGTCTGACCCCTGCCCCTGCGGTGCGTCTGTGCCCGGCGGCGTAGCCGCACGACCGGAAAGCATGGCAATGACTGTGTTGAGAGCGTTGGTGACGCCGCTTGTTGTGATCGCGCGTTCGGAGGTGGCCGCAATGTTGGATGACGCGCCGTCGATCTTCCGGGCGACCTCGTCCGTCAACTTTTTCTGTGCGTTTTCCATGGAGTCCACAACCACCCCCTTCAGGTTAGCCGCGTAATCCTCCAAGCGAGCAGCAGCGCGTGTCAGCACCTCCCGCATGTCGCGATTCTCCGCCCTGTCCTTCGCGGCTGCCTTGGCTTCCCTTAGTATCACCCGTTCCGAGTTTTGCACGTGAACCAGCACCTTCTCCACCGTGGCCGCGAGATAGTCGTAGCTCTACGTGATCACAACCGCGTGTTCCGTACCGAGATGTTCTTACACGACTTCCTCCAGCTTGGTAATTCGGCCCTTCTGATTCTTCACCACCTTGTCCAAGCGGAGGATTTCCTCGGCCAGCTTACCAGGTTGCAACTTTGCCAGCTCCGAGTGTTTCCGCTTTCCCGCGACCGGGCTCTTGCCCGCAAACTCGCCCGATGGGGTTGCGCTTCTCGGACGGGGGAACAACGCAGCATGGAGATTGCGAATACTCTTCCCAGCGCCCGCGACCGCGACCGCCGCCCGCCCCGCAGTGTTTGCCGCGATTTCCTCCACCTCTTCCTCTTCGTCGTCGTCCTCTTCCTCCTCCATTTCTTCCGAACCCTGCAGCTCCAAATCACTGCCCCGGTTATCCATCGCGACATCATCACGCTCCGCGGCATCCCCTTCGGCCTGCCCTCGACCCTGGCCATCTGCCTCCTCCGATGGACTCTTGTCACATCCACCCCGAGGCGCATTCACAGGGGCATCCTCGCCGCGGTCAGAGCTCGAGCCCTCCTCCTTGTTGTCCGGCTTCGCCTGTTCCGCGGACAATTCGTCCCCCTCCCCCGCGTTCGCGAGCGCCAAAGCAGTAGTGAGAGCAAGTGTGTCGCGACCTGAAAAATGTGATCCCGCGGGCTGTTCTTGCGACCTCAGACGTTCATCGCCATGAGCATCACCCCCGTGACCGTCCGCAATCCCGCACCTAGACTTGAACGCGAGCTCCTCCGCAGCGCGTTTCGCATCCTGCCGCAATGTGGTCAATGTCCTGGCAATTGGCTTGGCGATGCGCGGCGCAGGGTCGTGTCCAACAACCGCGTCGAGTCGTTGAGAACTCTGTCAAACGCGTGTTGAAATGAGTAGCTTAGTAAGAAAGAAGGAACTTAGGAGCCATGCTATAGTTTAGGCTAGGCATGGACTATCGAGAGAGTTGAGAAGAAGAAGAGGGGTTTCACTATAGAAAGTGAAGTACAAATAGGGTAGAAAAGGGGGGGACACCACCAAGCAGGAAGTTAGGATAACTACACTAAGGCTAGAACTACATGCAGTTATAATAATATAATTCTGACATCCCCCCTTAACTGCATGCAGGAAGAGCCAAGTGCTAGACACAACCTGCAAGGGTACACCAAGCAGAACAAAGCAGCAGCACACAAGAGCAGTGACAACCAGTGCAATAGTGGCAGATACAGTTGCAGTAACCAGTCAGCCAAGGTAGAAGCAGCAGAAGTAGGTGCATGTGGCGGCAGGCCGCCTGGAGAGCAGGAGTGTGCGGTGGCAAGGGCGGCGGCACAGCAGGGCTCAACGGCAGAACCTGCCGCTCAACAGCACTAGAGAGGAAAGACAAACAAGGGTGGCAACAGGGGCTGCAGCTGGAGGTACCATGGGAGCAGAGGGTGGCAGTCGCAGATGTGGGGCTTCTTTGTCCGCCACACTATGTCGTCCCCCCTTTAACTGCTCTCATCCCCCATACACCTCTCTCCTCCCCCCTCCTTGAACCTCCAAGCTCCCGCCACCCCCATACCCCCCCCCCCACTGCTGCACCCGCAGCAGGGGGATGGAGGAGAAAGGGGGGGGGGCAGAGGGGGGTTGGAGCTGCAGATCCCCTCCCCCCCACTGCTGCACCCGCAGCAGGGAGATGGAGGAGAAGGGGGGGGGCGGGGGGGGGCTGGTGCTGCAGATCCCCTCCCCCCACTGCTGCACCCACAGCAGGGGAATGGAGGAGAAAGGGGGGCGGGGGGGCTGGTGCTGCAGATCCCCTCCCCCCCACTGCCGCACCAGCAGCAGGGGAATGGAGGAGAAGGGGGGGGGGGGGGGCGGGGGGGCTGGTGCTGCAGATCCATTCTGGCCACCCCCTTACCCTCCAAGAGCCCACCACCCCCATACCCCCCCCTCTCTCCCCCCACTGCTGCACGGGCAGCAGGGGGATGGAGGAGAAGGGGGGGCGGAGGGGCGTCAGTCGCGGGCGTAGGGGCGTCGGGCGGGGCTAGGAGCGACGGGCCTACGGGCCGTGCTAGGGGCGACGAGCCGGCCTAGGGGCGTTGAGCGACGGGGCCGGGCCTAGGGGAGCGACGGGCGACGGGGCCGACGGGCCTAGGGGCGTTGGGCGACGGGGCTGACGAGCCTAGGGGCGGCGGGCGCGAGCGACGGGCCGGGGGTCGGAGCCTAGGGGCGACGCTTGACGGCGACGGGCCGGGACCGGGGCCTAGGGGCGTCGGGCGCGAGCGACAGGTGACAGGGGGAGGGGCGACGGGCCTAGGGGCGACGGGGCCGAGGGGCGATGGGCCAAGGGGCGACGGGGCCGAAGCCTAGGAGCGACGGTGCCGACGGGCCTAGGGGCGGCGGGCGCGAGCGACGGGCCGGGGGCCGGAGCCTAGGGGCGACGCGCGACGGGCGACGGGCCGGGACCGGGGCCTAGGGGCTACGGGGCCAAGGGGCGACGGGCCTAGGGGCGACGGGGCCGGGGCCTAGGGGCGACGGGCATGAGCGACTGGCCGGGGCCTAATATCGAGAGAAGGCCACACGAGGGTGGCGCGTAGGGCAGCAGGTGGTGGGCCCAAAGAGGTCGTAACAGCTCTGATACCATGTTGAAATGAGTAGCTTAGTAGGAAGGAAGGAACTTAGGAGCCATGCTAGAGTTTAGGCTAGGCATGGCCTATCAAGAGAGTTGAGAAGAAGAAGAGGGGTTTCACTATAGAAAGTGAAGTACAAATAGGGTAGAAAAGGGGAGTACACCACCAAGCAGGAAGTTAGGATAACTACACTAAGGCTAGAACTACATGCAGTTATAATAATATAATTCTGACAACGCGGACCCACATGTGAGCGGACCGCAAGGGGTCTTCCAAGAAGAAATGTCCTGAAAAGAAACCGCAGAAGCGAAGTGTTGGGTTAGTGCTCCCGTTAAAATACCTCGCGACATAACCTACGCGAACAGGGCACAGACTCACCAGGTCCACGAGGCGCGTCGGATCTCCCAGCTGCCCCGACCGGAGGCACCGGACACCTTCAAATAGAGGCGAACATGACCATGAAACCACCTGAACACATTGAAATGAAGATATAATTCAAATACAGAAGATTTAAAGCGAACAAACATTAAAAGAGCACTAGCTTGTACAAACTTACTGGACAATCTTGTCTATCGCGGTAAGTTGCTCAGCCGCGGCGGTGGGGTGACAGACGCGGACAAAGTGAGTTTTCCAGGGTGAACTTGCGTCAAGCCTTAGGTGGCCCGGTCGCAAAAGCTGCAACATGCACGCGTTTGAAGCCTTCTTGTCACTCAACTCCCTGACATGATTATTTTTTCACGGGAAACACGTCGGGCCATGCATGGAGAACGCATGCAATTTTCGAAAAACCCTAGGCAAAACACGATCAGCCTACATCTATTCACGGTGTACTCACCCGGACCAGATGCAGAACACGACCAGCCTACATCTTAGCAAACCGTCAAACTCCACGGGCGCGGCCTCACCACCCGCGATGATGTCCGCGACAACATTGGAGGGCACCACCTTTACCGCCTCCTGCAGCGACTGAGACACGCACTTCCGAACAACCACGCTATACAGGATATGTAAGAACAAATGGCCATAGAATCAACGCGGTTGGGGTGTTATGCGGGCATATCGAAGGGCAAAAAACTCAGTGCATGCAACAAAGGTAGAAAAGGAAACGTGACCGTGAGCAAGGGGTCAAATAATGGCTCGGACGTATTCATTGCCGACGAACTCAAAGGTAACGCGAACGTGGTGAGATGGTTTAGGGGGACCGCGGTGCGACCCATAAAGATATTTAGAGGAACCCTAGACACTCCAGAGGTGTTCCATGTCAGTCTTACCATGTGAGAAAGTCGAAGGAGGTCGCGGTGAAGGGATGCTTATCATCGGCGAAGCACTTCCTCTGCTCGGGGGGGAGCTCCACAGTGGCGCCTGCGATCGAGATCGAAGCAGTGGAAGTAGCGCCCTGATCGCCACTGTTCAACAGCCCCTTCAGTTCGCGACCGGCCATGGCGGGGGAAGAACGCGAGCAAACACCAGCAGCGCGGCCGAGGCGGGAGAAAATCTAAACACGCGAACGCGACCAGAAACTCTAAGTGCTCGCACCGAGAAGTAGGCGGAGAGGACTAGTAGGGTGACAAAAAAGAAGAACCAAACTGTGAAGAGGAAATTGAGCACGTGAAACACCGTTGCAAGGGCCTAATAGGGGACGAGACGCAATCACAGAAGGGTGTCAAACATTAATCACATAGCCTGTGTAGGCTGTAGTGGGGTAGACACTATGGGGTACAGTTTCCTAGGGTTTCATATTTGTACCCAACTCATTTCCTAGTCAATCATTCTCATTTCTTCACATGGTATAGAGCGGGTTCCCTAGTGGGACCGTTCCTTCCTAAGGGCCCACCGTTAAATACTTTTTTTTTCCTAACTGCCCGAAGCGCGCTTCGCGCTCTGCCCTGTCCTCGATTTTCGCGGCCCCTTAGCGGCCTGTCCTGCCCTACGCGGCCCCTTTGCGGCCCATTAGCGGCCCCCTTCGAGGCCCCGTTGCGACCCCGCCCCGGCCCTGCCCCGTCGCCCGAAGCCGCCCTGTCGTGGCCCTATCGCGGCGCGGCCCCGGCCCTGCCCCGTCGCCCGTTGCGACCTCGTCGCGGCCCCGCCCTGGCCCTGCCCCGTCGCTCGTCGCGGTCCTGTCGCGGCCCGACCCCGGCCCTACCCCGGCCCTGCCCCAGCTCTGCCCCGGCCCCGTCGCGGCCCTGTGCCGGACCTGTCGCGGCCCTGCCCCGGCCCTGCCCCGACCCTGTCGCGGCCCTGTCCCGGACCTATCGCGGCCCAGCCCCGGCCCTGTTGCGGCCCTGTCGCGGCTCTTCCCCGGCCCTGTCCCGGCCCTGCTCCGGCCCTACCCCGGCCCTGCCCCGGCCCTGCCCCGACCCTGCCCTTACCCTGCCCCGGCTCTGCCCCGGCCCTGCCCCGGACCTGTCGCAGCCCTGCCCCGGCCCTGCCCCGGACCTGTCGCAGCCCTGCCCCGGCCCCGCCCCTGGTAAGAGCACCGCCGAGCCGGCCCGCCCTGCCGAGTCGCGTTGCCCTGCCTAGCCGCGCCGCGTAGCCGAGTCGCGCTGCTTCTGCTGCTAGCCTGCTGCTGATACTGTCATGGCTAGTCCCAGTGTTCTTACCTTTGATGCTGAGGGTCGAGCGGTTGACTTCGAGGTCTGGATAGATTATCTGCAGCTTTTCCTACAGTGCGATAGCAAGGATGGTCTCTCACTGTTCGATCTCACGTCTGGCGCCTCTACTGCCCCTGCTGCTGATGCTGACAGTACTGCTCGCTCACAGTGGACCACGCGCGATGCTGCTGCCCGCCTTGCTGTGCGTAGTCACCTACCGTCTACTGAGCGCGCGCACTTTAGTCAGTACAAGAGTGCTAAGACTCTGTACGACGCTGTAGTTGCACGCTACTCTTCCCCTGCCACTGCTGCTCTTAGCCGCCTCGTGCTACCGTACCTGTTCCCTGACCTCGCCGCTTTTGCCACAGTCGCAGACCTCATTACGCACCTCCGCACTAGTGACACCCGCTACCGCGCTGCACTTCCTACTGAGTTTTGCACCAAGAACCCCCCCGCCATGTACATCACCCTCTACTACCTAGTCACCCGGCTCCCAGACACCCTTCGCTCGGTCAGGGACCACTTCCTCTCTCTTTGCCCTACCACACTCACCGTTGACCTCCTCGAGGAGCGCCTCCTTGCAGCAGAGACTAGTATTACCGCTGTAGGAGCCTCTCGTGGTGACCCCCGTACCCCTTTCTTTGAGGGGTGCTCCCCCGTTCCTCTTTTGCCCTCCGTTGCCTCTGCTGCTGCTGTCGACCTTGTTGGCACCGAGTCGGTCAGCGCTGCGTCTGCTCCTAGCGAGAGGCGCCGCAACGGCAAGGGCAAGTGGGGCAAGGGCGCTGGAGGAGGTGGCGGGGGAGGAGATAGTGGCGGTGGAGGCGGAGGAGGGGGTGGGGGTGGGGGTGGTGGCAGAGGTGGGGGCTTCGGTGGCAGCGGTGGAGGTGGAGGCGGCGGTGGCGGTGGCGGTTGGGGTGGAGGCGGCGGAGGCGGCAGCGGCGGAGGTGGAGCTGGTCGAGGCGGTACTGTGCAGCGGGGACCCCAGCAGCAGCAGCGCTCTCGTGAGACCCCGTCGCCCCAGCAGCTTCGTGAGTGGTACGCAGGGCGCCAGGGGTCTGGGGGTGCTGGTCCCTGTGCCTACGTCCTGCGCACCGGCGACCGCACTGGAGAGCAGTGTGGCGGCCTACACGCCACCCAGCGCTGCTTCGGCCGCCTGACAGACGCCTGGCGTACCCAGTTCTCTGGCGCCACTGAGATCCCTCGCTGGGGTGATCTGCTCAGGTCGGGTGTAGCTATCTTTGATCTTGACTTTGATGCTATTCTTGTTGCCATGTATGCTGTGTCTATTAGTGCTGAGGGTGACTGTTATGTGTGTGTTTCGCCTGACCCGGGCATTGAGGCTGCTGCTCTAGGTGCTAGTGAGTCTGCTGCTCCAGGTGCTAGTGAGTCTGCTCTCTCAGGTACCGCGTCGGCTCAGGTTTTACACACCTTCACCCTCGACTCGGGTGCTTCCCGCTCTTTCTTTCGAGACCGCACCACCCTCACGCCGCTCAGTCGGCCGGTTGCAGTCTCCCTGGCAGACCCCTCTGGGGGTCCTGTCCTTGCCCACTACTCCACTGTCCTCCCGTGTCCGGCGGCCCCGTCAGGCTCCCTGTCCGGTCTCTACCTCCCCTCGTTCTCTAAGAACTTGGTGAGTGGTGCTGACCTTCAGGATGGCGGGGTTGACCAGTTCAATCCTGCGAGTCAGCGAGTGACCCACTGCACGTGTGCTCAGACGGGCTGCCACTTGGCCACGTTTACCCGTCGACCAGGGTCGAGCCTGTACACACTGACCACTGAGTCTCCACCGGTTGCTGCGTCTGGTCAGGTAGCTGCGTCGAGTCAGGTGTTTGCTGCAGCGTCTCGGTCATGTCCTGAGTCTGCCCCCTGCTCGTGTCGCCTCTTGTCCCACCAGACCCTCCTCTGGCACCACCGCCTTGGTCACCCCTCCTTGCCTCGTCTCCGAGGCATGGCCTCCCGTGTCCTTGTCTCTGGTCTCCCCCGGTCCCTCCCTCCCCTTCCCCCAGGGCCTGCCCCTACCTGCGTTCCCTGCATCGAGGGGCGGCAGCGCGCCGCTCCTCACTCCTCCGAGTTTCCTCCGACAGAGGCTCCGCTGCAGACTCTCCACATGGACGTGTGGGGCCCAGCCCGCGTCCGTGGACAGGGTCACGAGCGTTACTTCCTGCTGGTGGTTGACGACTACTCGCGTTACACCACAGTCTTCCCCTTGCGCCGCAAGGATGAGGTCACTGAGGTGTTGATCGACTGGATCCGCGTTGCTCGTCTCCAGCTCAGATATCGTTTCGGCTCGGACTTTCCTGTTCTGCGTCTGCACTCCGACAGAGGTGGAGAGTTTTCCTCCGACCTTCTGCGAGCCTTCTATCGTGCGGAGGGCATCCGCCAGACGTTCACGCTTCCGGCCTCTCCACAGCAAAATGGGATTGCTGAGCGCCGCATTGGCATGGTCATGGACGTCGCTCGTACGTCCATGATCCATGCGGCTGCTCCCCATTTTCTGTGGCCGTTCGCGGTTCAGTACGCGGCGCATCAGATCAACCTTCAGCCCCGGGTCTCCATGCCGGAGACCTCCCCTACTCTGCGGTGGACGGGGAAGGTTGGCGATGCGTCTGCGTTCCGTGTCTGGGGATCTCGAGCTTTCGTCCGTGACTTGTCTGCGGACAAGCTGTCCTCCCGTGCTGTTCCTTGCGTCTTCCTCGGCTTCCCCCCTGACGCGCCTGGTTGGCAGTTTTACCACCCCACCTCGCGTCGTGTTCTGTCCTCCCAGGACGTCACGTTTGACGAGTCGAATCTGTACTACCGTCTCTTCCCCTACCGCGCTGCCCCCCTCCCCCCCCCGCCGCTCTTCCTCACGCCCGGTCCCCCCCCGGTAGACCCCCTCCCCCCTCAGGGTCCTGCCCCCTCAGGTGTGTCCCAGGTAGATGCAGTCGAGCCTGTCGAGGTAGCTGTTGACTCTGGTGCTTCTGGGGGTGCTGAGCCTGAGCGTGCGGAGCCTGGGGGTGCTGGGCCTGGGGGTGCGGAGCCTGAGCGTGCGGAGCCTGGGGGTGCTGGGTCCGGGGGTGCTGAGCCTGAGCGTGCGGAGCCTGGGGGTGCTGTGCCTGGGGGTGCTGAGAGTGGGGGTGCGGAGCCTGCCGGTGCTGGACCTGGCGGTCCTTCGGGTGCTTTGTCCCGGCGGGAGCTACCCTCTCCACAGGAGCTGTGCGAGTGGTTTGCTCGGCGCTGGAGCCGTGCTGCTGGAGCTGGTGGTGCTGGCGGTGCTGGAGGTTCTACTGCTGCTGGGGGTGCTGGAGCCACGGGTCCCGGAGGTGCTCGTACTGGAGGTACTGGAGCTGCTGGGCCTGGTGGTGCTACTGGAGCTGGGGATACTGGCGGAGCTGGAGCTGGTCGTGCTGCTGGAGTTGGTGCTACTGGAGGTACTGGAGCTGGAGGTGCTGCTGGAGCCGGTGTTCCTGTGGGTGCTGGAGTTGGCGCTACTGGAGCTGCTGGTGGTGCTGCTGGGGCTGGTGGTGCTGCTGGAGTTGGTGCTGACGCTGCAGGTGCTGGTGCTGCCCCTACTGGTTCTGGAGGCGCTACGCGGCCGTGGCCGTACTTCGTTCCGCTCCTTGAGCAGGTTCTTGGTCTTCCGCCTTCTTCTGGTCCTGCTCCTTCCTTAGAGTGTCCACTGCCTGTCCAGTCCGAGTCACAGTTACAGCTGGCCTCCCCACTGCCTGCTCCTTATCCCTACGCTGGTCCTACTGGAGGTCTTGCTGAGCGTCGTGAGCCTGAGTCGCGTCCTGCGTCCCCTGTTCGTGCTGCTCGCACTAGTCGTCGTGCTCCTCGTCAGCGTCCTCCTGCGGTCCCTGGCACGCATCAG